AAAAAAAACCTGCTAACCAACCAACCAACAGCCACCTGCCAGCGGCGCCAGCAGCAACCAACCAACTGACCACAACGTAGCATCCCTTTTGTGGGCCATCCGAGGGTAAAATTTAGAATAGGAAGAAGCTTATATGCTATTGCAACGCGGCATGCCTTTTGTGGGCCACAGATACAGTTTAGAGTAGGAAGAAGCCATTGCAACGTAGCATTCCTTTCGTGGGTAAAATTTAGAAAAGGAAAACGCCATTGCAACGTAGCGTGCCTTTTGTGGGCCACCCGAGGGTAAAATTTAGAGTAGGAAGGAGCCATTACAACGAAGCAATTCTTTTTGTGAGCCACCCGATGGTAAATTTTAGAGTAGGAAGGAGCCATTACAACGATTTACAACGTAGCATTCCTTTGATGGGCCATTCGAAAGTAAAATTTAGAAAGGGAAGAAGCCATTGCAACGTAGCATGCCTTTTGTGGGCCACCCGAGGGTAAAATTTACAGCCGGAAGGAGCCATTATATTACAACGTAGCATGCCTGTTGTGGGCCATTCGAAGGTGAAATTTAGAATAGGAAGGAGCCATTACAACGCAGCATTAGTTCGAATTCGACTTCGAATCGACGATAATTTTTACACCCCGCGGGGGGAACCAGTTCCAGTTCGAGTTCGAATTCCAATCGACGACAATTTTGACGCCCGGAGGGGGGGAAACGCAGTTCGAGTTCGAGATCGAATTTCGAGTCGACGACAATTTTGACACCGAGGGGGGGACCAGTTCGAGTTCGAGTTCCAATTCGAATTCGAATCGACGACAGCGATTTTGGAGTTCGACTCTTTCTATTCGTCCACTGGGTTGACTTCTAACAGTTACCAGTTCGAGTTCGAGATCGAGTTCGGTTCCTTCCATATATCCTTTCAAGGTTAAGTTCATCAATACTGTATATAATGTTTCAGTTCGAGTTCGAGTTCGAGTTCGAGCGGGGCACACTATGCAGGCCAGAGCTCTCTAGGGAGTCTAATGTATGTTCAACTCGGATTGGAGATACGCCTTAACGGCGTCTGCCGACAACAACTTGTGTCCTTCAAAAAGACCAAAAGAAATAATGCTATTGGCTGCCACGATTGAAGTGGGAGACGCTAGCTTCCCTTCAGCCGTCTTTGCAGAATCACCACGGTAACGCACACGACCTTTGAGAGCACGCAACTCTGCGGCCAACTCAACATGCTTCTCACTACAAATTGCAAGCAAGTCTGCAATGTGGATGGTTTCTCCACTCTGCAGTGCAGCTTCCTTCACGTGGAACTCTTCATCAACCGACTCAAGTTCCCATGTTCCCATGGAACCAACACCATCAAATTCCTTACGGATCGCCTGTAGTGCATCTGGTCAAACTTCGTTCCAGGTGAGCCGTCTTGTCACTAGGGCGTAGGACCCAGCGGCAACATCTTCCGGTGGGACATATCCCTCAGGAAGTTCATCAGGAGAGTACTCCGGACCCTCAGTCGGTTCTGGCTCAACCCAATGCTCCTTTTCTGCTGCTCCTGTGGAATAGGATGAAGAAGCTTTCGCTGAGCTCTTTGGCATCGGAAGCGGTCCAGGTGTTTTCGGTGCTCCGACATCTGGGATCGGCGTAGGTGGCGTTGCTGCTTTTGTAGGGAAGATGGCATCAAATCGCTCGCGGCATGCCTTGTTGTGGCGGTAATGGCCACCATCACACCCAGGGCAACCCTTTGTAAAACCATGCTCCAACAAACGTGAAAAAGTAATGTATGCATGTCGTGGGGGTGCGGCTGGTGTGTCTTCCGGAAAGGCATCAATGTCAATGTCATATGGGAGCACGCCCGACTCAAGAGATCTGTCATAGATCCTCTTCTTCATGACCTCTACTTCAGGGTCAGACATCTCTTTCAATGCCTTCATTGCTGCGTTGGACAAAGGAAAGTCAATGTGCTCAACAGGAGGGAAAGACACCTCCTTCTCATGAAGGTCCTTGGGACTCAAATGCAAATGCGCTCTTGCGCGGACAGCTTCGTAGTCAACAACTTGTACGACGCTGCGGTATCGCAAGCCTGAGTCGACACGCCATCCTGCAAACAAGCCTGGCCTCGTGCTCGTGGTTGGAGCGGCCATGCCGTCACTCTTTACCCTGTAGAAAACCAGTGCACCAAGTGGG